CCTGAATAGCTCTTTGTGTGGGACACTTATGATCTTGTGACTGACAGATTGCTTTTCTGTTTTGTGCAGAGCCAGAGTAGCTTTGTGTACAGTGATTCCGTGACCAACACGTAACAGGCTGTTTGAGTCCAGCACCAAGATAGATTTGCTGTAATACCACCTCAGTCTGGTGGCCATGTAGCTGTGGTATAGGACCCTGTAGTTCGCAGTGTGCACTACGCTGGGAGTAGTGTTAAAGTAAATTAGTGTAATTATAACTAATTTATCTTTATGGGTCAGCGATACAGCATCTGTGATTTACTATTTTCAATTGAATGCAATTAAACTGTTTACTTTGCTGACTGCCTGTTTCATACAAGCGTGCGTGCACTCATACTCTCTTAGCCCCCAGGGTGAACTTTGATGGAGCAGAATAGAAAATCTTGCTTCAGCCCTGATTGGCTTGTTTATTTGTGCAGAATATACTTTTTAAATTCATTTTATACGGTCGAACTGCACTTTAAAGAAATAACTCTAGAAATTTGATCTTTATGTTGAGACATTTCACTAGACTGTCAAGGTGCTATTGCTTTTCATACACATAAAAATATCAGCTTTAGCCAACAAATGTTCATTACCAAACAGACATCTACCTCACTATATGATTAACTATTATAAAAGATAAGTTTTCTAACTTTTTATTTAATGTCAAGGTCAGTGGACCTTAGCACTATCACTAACGTCGACGAGGATCAGGGTTACTGGAGTCATGATAGGTTCATCCTGTTAAGATTTTTGATGATCCTTCCAGATTTTTAGTGTTAATGGGTGTCTTGTGGTACATGTTTAATGGTTCGTGCAGTTATTAATGTAGCACTGGCTTGCTAAGCTGCATTTTAGACCAATAATTCAATTTGTTTGAGCTATTATGTACAACTCGAAAACTTGACGTTCTGGATTTTGTTTGTGGTGGTGTATCCAGGTAGTAGCAGACTGGCTCCCGTCAGGTAAGGAAGTTCCATATGATGTCTCAAAAGCTGTTTATCCAGTATTTTATTTTCAATTAATCAAGAAGGTATATTCCCTTACCACTATGAGTTTATTAATCTATTCAAAATGGTAAGTTCTTTCTTGAAATTAAAGTAGTGCTTGATTTCTTCTGGTATCTCTTCTGACTTTTTTTAAGCTGCTTAGTTTTAAGGACGTTATTTTTCAAAGATCCCTGGCCCTGACGGAATTTCAAATGGCATGGGTTGACAAGTTAATCATCTCCAAAGTGTTGCAAGTATCAGATACTTTTGGATCTTTTTAATGACCTTGATTTCCCAGCATTTTTAAACGCACGTAAACACTGTAAAGTAGCAAGACACTACTACCTCAGCTGATATCTTTTCAAGGGTGCTGAACAGGTAATAGCATCTTCGTATCTTATTCAAAAACTTGGTTAGGATCATACCGATTCTGATATTCTTACCCCTCTTACTTACTACTACCAAACACACTCAGGTGTTGCCTCCGTAAAGGGCGGTATAACGTCTAGTCTCATGATTCTCTCCAGCTCTAGTTTAGTTTTAACTCTTGTGTTGTAAGAAATCTTTCTCAATGCTTAATTTTCAAGTTTGGGTTTATCTACCATAATTCGATGTTATACTCTATTTACCTCTTAAACGGCTCTCACTATCGTGGTAAGTCCAAGACTTTTACATAATATATGGCCAAAGAGACGGGAAAAATTTTCTATTACCATTTTAAACATAACCAGGATGTTTTTCTTTTTGACTTTACACAGCAAGTTGACTTTTCTAATTACTTTTATTTTATTCGAAGAGTAGCTGATAAGATACTTATTATTAGGGCTTTTAAGATAAGCTTCTAGTTTTTAGTTAAGCTGCTTGGAAGCTCGTTGCACTTCTGTCTATACGTAACATTATCTTGCTCTCTCTTACGAAGTAAATGTAGAGATTTTTTTCATTGCCTACTATGCCGTCCAATAGTACGCTTACTTTTTTGTCTGTATTGACTTATCTATCTTTGTTATACGTGGCCGTGCACATTTTAGCGAAACGTTCCTGTTTATTACACTTTCTGCATTCTTGTTCATAACTCGTGGCTTACATGCCCTGTGTTGCATCTTTTAAGGTAGAATTCCATATAGTTTATCTAAAATGGTTTTCTTTTTTTATTTTTTACTATGTACTCTTGACTACTTAATGTTTTTGTTGCCCACTCGCTGGTTTTGCACATATTGGTAGCTTTTGTCGACATCAAGCCTTTTTCCGTCATAAGCTTTTCTCTAACTTGGCTTGAGTTAATTCTCAACATTATTTTGTCTTTCAACAACTCTTCAGAGTGTTTCTTAAGTTGAGACAAGCTTATCTTGCCATAAGTTCGTTCAACAGTTTGCTCTTAACGTGTAGACTTTGATGAAAGATTCATTTCTTGAATAATACATTAATTTTTGGCACAAAAAGCCTTTAAAATTTCAGTTTTGTTGTATCAAGACTCTGTTTCTCGGTTGTCTCTAGGTTTACATGATTGTAAGGTTTCATTACCTCAGAGCCTATAGCTAATATAAACGTTACAACCTGTACTAATACCAATTCTTTTATTAGCAGAACAGTAGTCATAAACTGTTTACACTATTGTAGCTCATTCTGCATGGCTTGGCTGAGTAGTAATGTTTATTATAAGTCTGTTGTTGTATGCACTATCTATTTTTGGCTTTTTTCTGATATTATGTTATGTAAGAAGTAGGCGTTCTTGAATAATAATTACCAAAATTGCTATATATATAGTTCATGAAGAAACTACAAACTAGCCTAAGCAAGTGTTAACTGTCGACTGACTAGCAATATGCTTTTTTGCATATATTTATACAAAATTAAATTAGTTTTAGCCATCAGAAAATAAATCAATGCATAATACTAAGATTTACTTTAAACTCTTATTGATGGGGTCATATAAATATATATATATATATATGCTTCTGAAAATCGCCTGTGTAGTGCTGTCACGCAACTTGGTAAAGAGTTATACACATCATTATAACGTATTAAAATTCATTATACGTTTCAGGAAATAAAAATTTCTGATTTTTTAAGAAAGGTTACCATATTGACTTCAAAAAACAAAAAATTTGATTAACGCTATTTAACATTTTTAAGTAAAACTTCGTTAGATGCACCTTATATGGAGAGTTCATCAGTGAAATGAGCCAGCGAGCAAGCAAGTGTGAAATTAAAAACGTGTGTGTGTGTGGGTGTGTGGGTGTATGTAAGACAACTGCACCACTGGCAGGGTAACTGTTTAACTACCTCCCTTTCTCTATCTCTCTCCCTCTCACATGTGCACAATAGTGCACTGCAATTACTTTATCTATTTGTATGATATAACTTCTCTCTATCTCTATAAATAATGTAGACAGTCAACCGATTCAAATATTACCAGTGCAAGCAGGTGAAATAATAGTCGAGTGGTCACCCATTTAACTACTAATTGTGCTACCGTATCGGTAGTAGGTATTTCTAGTGCTGCATCGTAGAAATCGTATCGTGGCTGTCATATGGGCTTTACTGGGCCTATGTTACAGTTCAGGTACTGTCAGGTAAATAATGTCTGATACGAAACATCTCTTTATACTTTTTGAGTCTTCGAAAACCATAGTAAAAATAGTTTTTTTTTCCTATTTATCTATTCGTACGTAAACAGGTATGTAAAGAAACGTATGTAATCTAATAAATAAGTATAATACGACGACTTAACTTTTGAAAACAAGAAAAAACTCTGTATCTCGAAAAAGAAGCAAAATTGGCTAAAAATAACAATTTCTGCGGGTTTCGTAAGGAGGATCTACATGATCGAGGTATGATCTACAAATAGAGAGAAGTCAAACTATGAACAAACATAAACTCAATTTGTTCATTTTTTGACTGTATCTTGAAAAGTCAAAAAAAAATTTTTATTTAGTATAGCATGTTTCGAGGTTTAATAGGGACGTTGACAGAATCTTCGACAAATTTTTGTTACAACATAACCTCCAAAAAGTAGAATAATAGCCGTATCTGGAAAAGGAAGCTAGATAGGCAAAAAATAATTTCACGTATAGAAAGTTACTATTAAGGTGCAAAAGTATGTTTTACAAATTTATACAAATAATCGTAATCATCCTAAAAATAATACATATCTCAAGGGCGAAGCTACAACCTTTATTTCCGACCAAAAATTGATTCATTTTCTGCTCTCTATAATGTATTACAAAAAAAATTGTCACGTGACCAAAACCTATATTCTTTTTATTAACCTTACGATTAGTAGAAATCAGTAAAACACGAGTGAATTTCAATATTTACGGATTGGTTATTATAGAAAACGAACTAAATGAGAAATTACAAGTTTACGATGAAAAATAGCGTTATGTCTATTGCTTTCTTTAATCTCAGTAAGATACAGTGGATTATTTTTCTTTTATGATAGCCAACATTAAAAAAAACTTGTATTTGTCGTATACAAAGATTCCAACGAGAATTTATTGTACACATATGATGTCATATCAAATGCACGATGAATAATTTCTAATAAAAGAAATTTTTATCCCGCGTAACAGGACAAAAGTACCTTCTTTCAGCGCACTACAGAAAAAATTTTTGTTTTTTTTGCACAACATAACCAACAATTCATACATGTATTACATAGATCATACCAAACATAGAAGTACGTACAATGCACGAATTATAACATAAGTATTATATTAAGGTATATGTATTGTATACACACGCGAGCTTGAATACGTAATAATATTTAAATTCTCACTATTTTAATATGGGGTTCTATGGGTCTGTTGAATTTAGGTGTATTCCAATATTCTCCGTTTTTGTTATACCAAGCTTGATAACATTTGAGTTAGAAGTTTCACTTCAGCCGGGGGACCCAAGACTAATACCTGGTTTTATTTAATAGCTACTTTATAATCTCTTACATCTATACATTCAAAGAATGCAGCAATAAATTGCATTTTTTTTCAGGTCTATTATTTGGAATAACAGTTTCCAATAATATTAAAGCTGGGAGACCCTCATTCAAAATTGCTTCATCTACTACTTCATCTTCACCAGTAACAACTATGTCAGAAGACTTATTATCAACAAAATACTTAGATGATAAAGTGATGGTAAGAAATATAACGAGAAAAAGAATTCTTCCACTGTATAAGATTATATTGCCTAAACTATAACAATGATTAATACATTATCCTGACAGAAACATTTACAAAAGTTCTTACAGCTTTTTTTGTATAATAGGTGCAAATTCATTGCTACTACTTTTCCGCCCTCTAGGCACAAAGTTTGAGAGTGCAAATAAATTAGCAGGTGCAAAATAAAATAGCAAGTGTAAGTAAATGCATGGTCTTTTCTTTGTGAAAATACAGTTGTTTATTAGCATTTGGAGAATTTACAAGACAGTGAATCATCTATAAATATAAAATAGAAATAAGAAGTCATTTTTTTACCTAATATGACAATAGCAACTTCTCGTCCTAATCCTTGCCTTAGTTAAATATGCACAAGGTGCGAACTTCATTTTAACTGAGGTTGCAGTTAATATCTAAAAGTTAAAGAAATTGCTCGCGTAGAAAAAATATTTATTTCAACCAACGTTGTAAATTCTTGACCAGGGAACCTAGTCATACCTTTACATGTTTACATTATTTTTTTGCAACAGTATGGTGGTCAACTTCGTTTTTAATAACTGTGTTTTTAGTTTCAAGCAATCTATCATTCAGCAAGACTGTTATCTTCAAATTGTTTTGAAAAAACTTTAACACGTGTAAGACCCTATTCGTTTGTAATAAATACATCTAATTTAGTAATAATAAATTAAAATTTTAACAATGTCACACTTGAGGTAGAACATGTACAGAAAAATTTTCATTTGTATCTACAATCATGGTCACAGCAGTCGAAATTTTTAATTTCTCTGTTTCTAATGATGTACAATATGGTTTAGAAAATTTTAGTGTATAGTACTAAAGACATTGACATCTACTGTATTATTGAGTTATCCTGCAGGATGCTTTGTTTTTTTATTTTATTTTATTTTATTCTATTTTATTTTATTTTATCTTTTTTCTTTTTGTAAAGCAAAGCGAAGAAACTCTTCAGAGATACTTTGGCTATTCTTGTAGATCATGTGTTTAGCTTGTGTGTCTTCGGACTAAGAACTAACCTCCCGTTAAAACTAGTCCGCTAAAAGACAAAAGGTATCTAAGAACAGATGGAACGATAACAAACAACTAGGGCCGTTTAAGGCTAGCTCGCTTTCAAAGAGATGAGAGGAGGGGACGAGCTTTTGGCACTTACATATCTCTGAAAAGTGAATATTGTATTACACCAAAGTAAAGTTGAAAGAGTTTAGATGTTAGTGTAATAGTATGTACATGGAACAATTGAGTCTACTGTGTATTGTATGTTGTTGTAGAAAGACGTAGAAAGTTATGGGGGCTCTGTATATTTTGCACAAGATCGCATGGACGTCTTAAGATTGGAGCGTTCAGATCAGACGTTTAAGAGCGTGGCGATGATGGGGTTTTGGTGTTCCGTAATGGAGACAAAAATTTTAGACGCAAGTACGAGGGCTACTTCAATTGGTGGAACAATGTTTAACATGCAGATTTAAGTTTTCTCAATGTTTCATGGAGTATTCATTACCAGCGTCAATATCTCTATGACAAAGTCTTGGACACTCCTTCATCGGTTCTTCTTTGCGTCTCCCCACGTTAGGATTGCGTAAGTTCTAATGACTTTAATAATGGCGTTAAAGATGCTCAACTGCGTATTCTGGAATATCACTTTGTTCTTGAAAAAGGGCTTTAGCTATACAAATAATCGATATCCAATTGCAGTTGATGGTTCAAATGTACGTAACTCCCTGATTTAGTGAAATACAAAGATACTCGATGGAGTAGTTCTAGTTAATTTCTATTGCATTGACACTTATCTTCTAGAATTTTTTTTATAAGTCAAGCATGAATATGGTCTTTGACTAACAGACTACCAGTTTTCATAGAATATATCAGTTATAGAGAGCAATGATATACTTATTTAAAAGGGTAGTGCACCGAAAATGACGTTTTTGCATGCAGATGACCACGACGTCGTCTGCGTAGATGTATGTAATGATGTCTACATGTTGGAGCACGTCATGGCAGAATACATTAAAAAGAGAGAGAGTTTGGAGACTTAAGGAACTTCAGTATTTATTTTATGGCGATTGGAGATGCAGTCACGTATTTAAACCTAGATAGAAAAACTGGAGTGCACATTTAGAAGGATCTTGTTTTTCGTGGCATGCTTGTTAAGACGGTTGAGGATAACACTTTTGTTGATCTTATTAGGCGAGTACAGTAAAACAATGGGTCGATGGCTCAACGTGTTGCAGAGAGAATTGTCTGAATTTGAAGAAAAAATAACCATTGACTCGTTCTACGCTCTTGGAAAATAACGAAGGCACATCATTGCAATGGTGATATCGCAAATCACCGTAATAAATTTCTGAGTAAATATTTTAAGGACACTGTGAGAGATCTCATCTATGCAAGGGGCTTTTTGAGTTTTCAAGGAGCAGATCATATACATAAATTTAAAAGATGTGCAGTGCTTTAAATAAGGGAAGTTTAGAATCTACTACTGGACCTTGAGGTCCATTCCTACTTAATTCTAAGCTGATTCTTAAAGGCTCAAACAATAAATTTCCAATTAATTTGCAAATATCTCTGCATTGTCAGAGTTAGGTCATTAAAATTTGTTGACTTTGTGAAGAAAAGAAGAAAAAGCTATTAACTCTTAAGTTTCTTAATGACCTCCCGAGCATTTCTTGAGTAGATCTCTGCTTTGGCTATCGATTAGTCAAATTGCTTGTTTTATAACTAGAAAACTTGGGACTTAACTTCTTGTCTATTAATTTTTTATAATATTCATTAAAAGTAACGTTAATTTTCAGTTCAAGTTACTATCGTTTGCTTAGTAGTTTTTGAACTCTTTTATTTTCACTAACGAGACACCTGTGGTCTTTGTTAAGTTGAAGTACATGTTGTGGTACCGTAGTTGTTATAGTAGTATTTTTAGTGTATTTGTTGAGTTTGTCAGTAAGTTAATCAACTGCTATATACAGGTTTGCTTAGGATTTAACAAAGGAACTCTTAAAAAGAGAAGATTCAAGATTATAACTAAGGTGGGCCCAGTCTATCTAGCTAGCGGTGACAGGGAAATTTAAGAGGAATATAGAAATCTCTCGGTAAACTCCATTATGATGGCATGGAAGGTCTCGGAAGATTCGTAGTTCCATCAGGATGATCAAATTTTTGATCAGGAATATGTCTAACATGCTTGGATCTTAATCCAGGCAGCTTAGATAGTGGATTGGTTTAAAAAGAACCTTAATGTTGATGTTGAGGTTATGCAAGTGTTTGAGAAGCAAGCGTCCTTTTGATTTTTTGTGTTTGCAACCCCACTATTTGTGCTTAGAAGTAAAGTCACTTGCCATAATTGTAGGGCTGTTAGAGTCATTTAACGAAGTTATGCAAAAAAAAGGTTTGAAATGTTCTTGCAAGAGAAGTAAAAAGAGTTGTTTCTAATGGGAGTGAAGAAAATGGTGTAAACTTTGACTCAAACTGCTTCACTTTGCAGCGTCCGTACTTAACACAATGGCAGATTCCCTTGAAAAAAAAATATCACCACTCTACCATGAGATTGCTTGCATCATTTTTTTTGTTAACGATAAGGTTTTGGAAGTAAAGTGACTTTGCATTGTCTAGGTGCATTTTAGTAATAAATAAGAGATCGATATTTTTTATCAGCAGTACATTAGCTAGCTCAGTCATTTTGTGTGTGGTGCTGTTAGTGTTTCAGTTAAGTAATATAAGATTTTTGTCTGGTATTTTGCCATTTGGTTGGCGTTGAGGCCAAACATTGTCTGGTCGAAAAGTGCCAGCAGATTCCAGATCGACTGGATAATAATCTTGGCTGTAAAAAGAGTGTTTAGCAGTGAAGCCTTAGGTTGAGCTCTTACTTCTTTCAGTGAAGAAAATACTACGTTCTCATATGACATCCTGTGCAGGCACGTGGTAGTTGAATCTTAAGTTGTTGTATGATGGGAGGATCTTACAAAACAAGGAGAAGGAGTGGTATTTTTCCAGGCACATGAAATAATTATTAGGTGATTTTCTGGTACTAATGTTAAAAGGTGCATTGCTCACTTTTGTAATTTGTACAGTAAGGGGTCACTTGGATAATGGTTATTTTTATACAGATCTCTATAGCATGGCCACAGAAACCACAGATAAAGGCAGCGTGGCAGAAGACGGCCGTATGATTCAACTTCTAGTAGTATGGGCACTGTGAAATATTGTTTACTTCACAATCTTATTAACTTTGACAGGATTGCCTCTGAGTGATCTGAGATCAAAGATAACAATTGTAATGGAATGAAAATTTTCGAGATACACGATAATCAGGGCCTAGATTTAATTATTTACCTTTGGTCATGCGATGGACACAACAGGCAAAGGGAACTTTTTCCTGGATCATGTCGAAGATTTACTTTTCTATGGAACTGATGTTAATTCCACGAATTACAACAACCACTTAACGATTTTTGTACTGCTGATGGGTGTTGATTTGGTTTTTTTTTCCCTTAAGGTCATGTATGATTTGTCTAAAACTGTCGACGTTATCAGGTTATACACAAGTGCCCTGAAAATGGTAGTTATCTGACGGGCATGATTGTTCTCCACAATGACGGTTTTGGGAATCTTGGGTCCGAGTATCTGGTCCAAAATCGTCATTAAGGGGGAAAAACCTTTTCTTGGGGGGTGCTAATATCTGCCTACATTTCAGAGTATGCAGGGTTTTTGAGGTGTACGTCGAAGGTATGCTTTGTCTTTTGTGAAGAGGTTATCGTTAGGGACTCGAAGTTTTGTACTTATTCAGTCTTAATATTAGAGAACTCAAGCTCAGAGTTTTTGGAGTCGGACTCACCCTTTCTGCACCTTTTTTTATGAAAGGCTTTGCAATAGACGAGTCCATGGAAGTTTTCTCCACCAACTATGGGCTAAGCAAAAAAAAAATTGCATTACTTCCGAAGTAAGAGAACTCAGAGGGTTTCAGGGGTTGT